AGATAAGGAAAAAAGGAAAGAAAGAGAAAAAGAGGAAAAGAAAATGTAAAAGCATGCCACATCATTTGCCACACATGCAACTTAACTGGGAACAGTTAATATCCTGTTAAAAAGACTGTTTTGCCTCGTTATATTTAGTTCGTGGGCTTAATTGGATGTTTTTTGAGTTCGGGGCCTTAATTGACTTTTTCGTATTAGTAGGGTGGTCTATTTGACACTTTTCCCTTTTCTTTATTATTACTACGTATTTTTTTTAGGCTAAAGGGTCAAATAGGCCCCTGAACTACCTTAAAATGTTCAATTAGCCCCTTATATAAGAGGTTCTGCCCGGCCGTCGCCAATTGGGGTGGTTCCCGGTGGAATTTTTTGATGAAACTTTTTGAGCATCTTCTTCAATAAGTCTAGTTTACCCATACCAAATTTCAGCTAAAAATTCAACCAGGAAGGCAATCAAATGATTTTTTGAAGATAACTGCGCAGTTAAGCAGTGCAGTACATTTCATAAAATCATTTGACTGCCTTCCCAATTGAATTTTTGGGTGAAATTTAGTATGAGTACACTAAACTTAATGAAGAAGATGCTTAAAAAATTTCATCAAAAATTTCCATCGGGAACTGCCTCAATTGGCAACGGCCGGGCAGAACCTCGTATATAAGGGGCTAATTGAACAATTTAAGTCAGTTTAAGGGTCTATTTGACCCTTTAGCCTTTTTTTAAATTAGGTTTTCCGTGTTCTGGATGGTTTCTCATAATCTTAAGCGCCAAAAAGAGGAAAATGGCGTGGGTCGGTGGTTCCAGGTGTATGTTAGCCATGTGAAAAGTTGAAACTAGTAGACGTAGTGGTCATTACAATCATTTTTAGCCATGTGCCAGGTTTTGCCAGTTTTTTTTGTAATACATGAAAACTTAGAGCCCGTTTGGTAGCACGAAAATCGGTTGATTTAGTTGATTCTATTGAAATTTATGAAATACTGGCTGAAGTGGCTGCATTGACTGATTCTGCTTTTTTAAGAAAAAATTATTTTTAAAATATATTTTATTAATAAAATAAAGAAAAAAATGTGTGTAACAATAGCTAAAATGATCATGTACAGTAACTTTATCCAATACAGCCGGAAAAGTAACTCCAACCTTACTTTTTCTGTTTATTACACAATTCAGCGTGCAAAGTTACGTGTTCGGTGAAAAAATTGACTGATAAGCCCAATAAGCTGAAAACAGTGTTGTCAAACGGCCTCTTATACTCCCTATTAAAACCACATATCATTTGTCATTTGGCTTAAACCGAAAAAGGGAACAAAATCATATCAAACACACTTCGTATTATTTTATTCAAAAAAGATTGATTTTAATTGGGATTATGCATAACTTAAACATAGTTCGCATTTAAAATTGACCTGCTATATCAGGTTGTAGTCAGTTAGAGACTATTTTTGAAAAATAATCTTTATAGTTGAGACCACTCAGGAATAATCGATAGTTGGGATTATTATTTTTCAATTTTTCTTTTATTTCAAGTTACGTTGTCCAACTATTATAAATGATATTGATCGATATTTGTTTTATAAATTTTCACTTTCAATCTTCTAACTATTTAATACGGAGTATTATCAAAGAAAAATTTTCATATCATTTAACTAGTGCGACACTTTCAATTTTCATTGTAACAAATTTGCGTTATGTTTATATATATAAACATAATATAGTGGAGATCCAAGTAATAAAAATCAATGAATAAGTATAAATCTAATCAATGGTTATAAGTTACAAATAAAACTTTAGAAGAATAACCATAAAGACATTAAATATAAATAAAACTATTAGGAAAATATTTGAAACATACACACACATTATTAATTAATTAATTAATTAAGAGAGATGATATACATTCAAGCGTGTATAACGAGTACAATATATCAAGCGTGTTGAATTTGGCTACACATATTATATAAAGGACAATGATTATAATCAATACTCTCCCATAAAACTTGATCAAGATTAATTTGCATATGTAATAATAATGCAAAAATTATGTGATTGATTTTTTTGGAGACCAGATGAAGGAAAAATAATTTAATCACACATTCGCTACTTTAAATGGTAATGCTTTTTAGGGGGCAGTTGCATAAATAAAGTTAGTAAAGTTTTGCGGCTACAATTTCTACAATGCATGTGATTATTACTCCATATAATATAATTTATATTTGCCACTTCTAATTGGTCCATCTAGACAAGATACAATATGTTGGAAGTACCGTAGAATGTTTCTTATAAAAATGAAGATATTTGAAGTTGGAGTATCTATTTTCTAATAACATTTTGGTGCGAAATTGTGATAGTGAAATTATTAAGGATATCTTTTATAGTAAAAATATTATATAACTGGAATACATACTTAAATGGAAATGAAAAAAATACAAGTTAACTACATCTTAAGTAATAATATGACTATGTCCGTTTCTGATAAATAGTGTTATTAATATATATTCAATCTTTAATTTATTACGTAGTATCTATATAAGTTTTAACTTCACAATTTAATTTGTATTCAATTTATCTTTGTATCTATAATTCTTCTAGCGTATATGGTGAGATGGATGAAGAGAGATATCGTAGAATTAAATATTTTCACTTCTAAATTCAAAATATTATATTGTTTAGAAATTTTAAAACATAACGAACTTCAAGCTGAAGCACATGCATTTTATTATACATAAAAAATGAAATAGTTTTTCATAATAATCACATATATCAAACCCGAAAGATAGTAGCAAGTAATGTATATAATAATCATCATAATTATCACTAAATGATGTGAGGTTGCAATATGCTATTAATGATTATCATCCTACACTAATTTTTAATTTTCATACGATAAGTATCAAAGTATGTATATACATTACTCATGATATGAATTATTTTCAAAAACAATTTAATTTCATCTATTATTTTCGTACTGGTAGATTGACTTCCATGTCTTATAGATTATAGATTACTGTCGTTGTAATATGTCGTAAGTTTTAGTTTAATTTTATCCTGGTATATGTTATTTTCTCTTGTCCAATTAGGTTATAAACCGAAAGAAGATAAATAAATGTATTATTAAGCACTCTAATAGGAAGTTATATGTATATATTTGTTAAAACTTCCTTTTGTCAAATTTTCTTTTTGTTATATTTATTAATTTGGTGGAAGGCTTGGAGTGGTTTGTGTCGGCCGAAAGGGGAAGGAGGCTTGAGCTTTCGTAGAGTCCGGAAATTATTCAACATAGCCATGTCAACAAGCAAGCCTAGTTGTTAACCACATACACTGGCAGCTTGGTGAGTCGCATATATAATGTACATCTTTTTCTTAATTGGGTAATAATCCTTCTTTTATATGGCACGTCATTTTGGAAGTTCAAGTGGTGGTTTCTGAGAATATTAGGAGAAGAGTTGGTAATGAACCAGAGATTCAGGTCTGGAGAGGTGCATTGTTACCTGGATCAGGCACGGGTCGTGTTAGCTCAATTGCTCAACTAAACCACCTGGGGGCTCGAGACATGAATGTGGCAGCATTAAGGACGGGGATTGCAAAAACTAGAACGTTGAGTGGGTCTCTTCATTATTTTCGGCAGAGGATCGTAAGTGCATCCTTCAAACTCTTATTAGCATTAGGTCAAAGGAAGATAGTCATTGTTGCTGTGGGGAGAAGAGTGGTTTTTTTTAGCAAGGTACTGTTTTACCTTGGATATTGGGACGAATGCTTTGTTAGTGGTCCATGCAGTTCTAAAAGGAGAGGGTATTGTCTTACACTCTTACCTTGATATTTGGATTGATGATCATATTCTCTTGTGTTTTGTAGAAGATATACTAATCATTTGCTCATGCACTCGCAAAGGCAAGCGTTTTCAAGCTAGATCATAGTTATAATCATGATTCTATTCCGTTTATGTGTTGTATAGAAAAAGCAGTTTATTACTCGCGTACAAAAAATTCTTTCTAAACTCAAGATGTGTTTACTTGGATTGTTTCCCGTCCCAGATCATACCAAACTTAATTAAATAGATCAAATCAGACCAGACTTCCATAGTTGAATAAAACACAGAGAGACTAAACATTTACCAGACAAAACCAAACTATTTTGTTAAGACTTGAGGTTTCATCCTAAAAGGTCAACCTGATAGGAGGAGTAATCCAAATCTTAATATAGCACTTAATTCCTTCACCTATTTCCGGTGTGGGAATTCAACACCCCTCCTCACGACCAGACACTTCGTCTGGCTCGTGCCGTCATTCATTTTTTCATCGATTCGTCATTGTCATTTTTTAATAATCACATCATCATATTTCATAAGGGGGCCACACCATGGATCGGTTTGACTCTGATACCATGTTAAGACCTGAGATTCCATCCTAAAAGGTCAACCTGATAGGAAGAGTAATCCAGATCTTAATATAGCACTTAATTCCTTCACCTATTTCCGGTGTGAGAATTCAACATATTTCAAACCAAATCAGACTTAAACAATTCAGACCAGCAAATTTCAATCGAAGTAGAAACATCCTTACCAGTACCTCCATGGCTCCATGTTATTAGATTTGGATTGTTTTAAAATATTATTAAATGTGGATAAATTGTTATACTTGCCAATCTTATAATTTCAAACCAACTTAAATTTTATATTCTACGTAGTGCATCCGTTTTGTTATAAATTTTTTTGCCCTATCTATTTTTTAAAATTTCAATGATTGTCCTAACTTTTAGAGTTTTAGCATCAATCTTTATACATATTTCAGTATTTCACCACCTTTCTTTCCCCATTCAAAGTATTCATCTATTATCCTGCCTAATTTCTTATCCAAGCATTTTTTTTGAGTTCCTAAGAACCCTTCCAAAACCATTCTTCCCATTTTCTCAAACTCCCAAGCAAAAAAAGGAGGACCACGAGCCCTCTTAACTCCCCCCCCCCCCCCCCCCCCCCCTCCAAAACTTAACTCTCAAAATACCCTAAGGAAACAAGAAAATGCAAGCCAGAAAAATAGAAAATAAATACTCCGTAATTCGTTTCACCTTATATTCATAGAGCAGAAATATAAACACAAAAATGAGGCCATTTAACACGATTAGATAACTACTACATTACATGTAAAGTATTTACGCTGGCTGCTATTAAGGCCTAACTCCTAACAAAGCCACTGTCATCGCTACCACCCTGAAGTTCCTCCCCTAACAGAGGATGATTGCTAAGAATCTGAGACGACCATTCATCAGACGGAGATGGATATCTAGCCCGGGGTTTACTCACAGCAGAATGCGGTAAATGGACGGGGTCCTTCCCATCTTTGTAAAGTTCAGGATTAGGACAGATGGGGTAAACATAAACCGGGTTCATCGTCATCACTTCTGCTTTCTGCTGCTCCTCATATCCCGGAGGTGCTAGGTTTAGATCAAGATTCGACTCTGCTGCCACCCTCTCCGCGATCTCTCTTCGGATATCGCTAATCTTGGCCTCCATAACATAATTCTCATCCTCCAGTTCCTTTTTCTCCATGCTCACCTGTACAACAGATAGTTTTTAGTAATCTTGGGAAAATGCCATTTTTTAAGTTCAATGTTCAAACTTCATAGGGAGGGGAAGGAAGTCTCACCTCACTTTGGAGGTGAGAGGACCCTGATTTTCCACTTCACCCCCTCCCCTAATTTTCCTTCTCCTTCATCTCAAATCATAGTGGAGCTACCCCCCACCCTAGGGGCTTGTTTGGTTTGGGAATTTTGGAAGGAACAGAAGGGGAAAGATAATATTTATTTTTAATATATGCTTACATTGAAGATAAAAATCCATATAGGAATACATGATTTAACTGAACATATAATTATTTATAGTAATACTAAGAAAAAGATAGGGCTGAACAAGAAAATTAAGCCAAAACCAACCAAAATTGGTGATACCAAAACCTAAAATGATAAAAACCGACCACATCATAGGTGGTTCGGGTTATGGTCAAGGTTTTGAAAGGCGAAATCGGGCCTTGAGGCGTTAGGGGGTAGCCTTCCGAGGCGTAAGCCTCGAGGCGTAACGAGGCGTAAGCCCCGAAGTTTAATTGGTTAAGTGTTGCTAGAAACCTATGACTTATTAGAAAGTATAGATAATTCATAAAAATAATGCAGCTTAACAAAATCACAAGTAAAACACTAAAACGAACATAATTATAAAATATTTAAGCCAAAATATGACATAAAATTGAAGAGAAAATAAAACATCAAACTGTAATCAAATTTAAAATTAAACTACTAAAGTACGTAGTATTAATTTTTTAACAAATAAATTAGTATTTAGCAATAAAACCATCACGCATAAACACAAATAAGCATTTATGATCTTTTAAATTCAAAACAGACACAAATATATTCATTAAACACTAAAAAGTTAAATAAACAGACAACTCTTTAATACTAAGTAACTTTTAATCACTCAAAACAGAACTTTTAAATAAATAAAAATTTACTCCGTAATTATTAAAAAGTTTAAACCATAAAGACAAATACACAATAACAAACTATAGAGTTGGGCGGTGGGGTATTCTATAATACCCGGATGAACCGGCAAAGCAGAGCTGCAGGGAGCTCCTGAAGTCTCTGTGTGGAAGTAACGCAGCTGAGCCGCTGAGGTCCTGAGCAGCTCTTCTTCGGTTGCTAGTCCTTGTTTGTCGCTATTGTGGAAGAGTGGACCGGCAATTGGAAATTGGAAGACGAGGAGGACTAGGGCGGTGGCTAAGTGATTAACGACCCCGGTAATTCGTATTTAAGGATGAAAAAAACAAATCTAGGCCCCCACTAATTTTAAAAGCCCAAAGTTGCGTCAAATAAGAGGCGTACGCATCTTGAACGCCCGACGCCTTAAGCCTGATTCTACGCCTCTTCATAAAAAGGCGCAAGCCTTGTTCCGGGAAGTTAAGGCTTAAGCCTTACGCGCGATAACAGGTCGCCTTTGCGCCTTTGCGCCTCTGGTGCGTAGAGGCGAAACGCCTTTTAAAACCATGGTTATGGTTTGAGGTTTACCCATTAAAAATCGATCAAACCGACCTATACATGCCTAAACTGACCAAAATCGATATGAGCCGACTGAAAGTAATCAAACCGAAATCAACTAGAGGTGCTCTGTTTGGTTCTCATTTTTACATTTCTCAAAACTGAATCATCCAACTTGAAAACAAAAAACCCACAAAACCGAAAAGGCGAATATCCCTAGAAAAATTTAATCCGTATAATTACTAAAACAAAAACCAATTACCCCCTTCTCTTTCCTCCAACCCCCGAACCAAACAATCTCCAAAATAAGTGATTGAAAGTAAGGTACATACATATTGGGTCTCGGACAACAAAGCCTCGCTTTCTCTTTTGAGCTGCTCAATTTGAGCTAACAACTCTTTCACATTTCTAGTGGCCTCAATCAATATTGAGGCCTTTCCATTTACTTGTTCTGAAAGTTCTGCAACAATGAATACGTTATAAGACACCGCATTCTTGGATTTTCCTAGAAAATTACAGAAAAGAATTTCAAAATTCACCAAGAGCATTAGCCAAAGAAAGAAACAGATCATTCAAATGATCACGCTTCATTTTCTCTCTCTCTGCCTTATGAGCTCTTTTAGGAACTTTCCCTTGCTTCTTCTTGGTAAGTTGATCCCTGTAAAGCCAGGGTTAATTAGATAATCAACCATGCTTGAGTAACTACTCTCTCAACAAGAGAAATATGTGCGGAGAATGAGTAAAAAGGCTATAGAAAGAATAAATGTAGGCTAAAGGGTCAACTAGATCCTTGTACACATTCAGATTGTTAAATTAACCACCTCAACTAAAAGAAGCTCCAATCAAACCCATGAACTGTGAAGAATGATGCAATTGGTATTTTTTGTAAGCAAGCTTCCATTTCTAGGTCATTTCTACTCAAGATAGCCTGCTGACTAAACTCAAACTCCTTTTCTTTTACACGCAGAAGGCACACCGTCATCTTCTTCTTTTAAGAAAAACCATATTCTCCCTTTTTCACGAAATTTCAGTTATAAATCTATAAGAAAATAGATCGTATGATATGTTGGAAGGAGTAATGCAGGTTTTGAGTATCACTCCGCTCCAATATCACCTTGGTTAAGAACAAGCAACTCATAAGTAAAAAATCACCCTAACTCAAATAGCCTGCAAAAATACTGTAATAAACAAGCAAAAAGCCTAAACCAATAATAAAACCGTCCTCCCAATACACCCTGACCAGTGAACAACCAGAACCAAGGCCACTGAGTGAAAAAGCACTCATGGAGGTCAGATTATTCTCTCATGGCTAGGAATGGCCAATGTCACTTGTGAAGGTTGATCTTAGTTAGCACTGCCTTTGAAAGCCATAATTCAAATAAGATAAAATGAGAAAACTTGGCAGAGGATTGTAACAGGCCTTAGCTTCTTCCATTCTGATTCTGTCAAGGTGATTTATGTGATCTATTGTCACTTTCTGAAATAGATTCAAACACAGGTTCACCATAGATGAACTCATGAAAGAAGAGAAGAGTGATGATGAAAGTTATAGTTCTCCAGATTTGTCTAAGCGTGCGTTTGGATCTCTTGTCACTACAGATTTGAGATTAAAATAAAAAATAAAGTTTCAAATCAGCTGACATGTAATTTACCTGTTGAGTTTGAAATCTAACAGTTGAAAACCCATTAAAAGGATGATTTGCAAATTGCAACATTTAATCTAGTTCATGGTTTTGATTGGAGCATCTTTCATTGAGGAGGTGAATTGAACAATCTCGATAGGACACATGCCTATTTGAACCTTCAGCCTAAAATTTACTGCGTATTCCAGCACATGAAAATACAAAAGAAATGAAGACCTTGAGGAGGGCCATTTCTACATAATCAAAGAAATGCAGAAGCAAGATGTAGTACATACTCTCTGTTCATAACTAAATCGATAAAACACATGTACTTTTATTGATTTTCCCAGCAATTTAAAGCCCGAAAGATATTTTACTTATCATTTAAAGACCACGAAGATCAAAACGTCATTGTAGGACCTGCATCACTGAAATTATCAATCTAAGGCTAAAAATATCACGTGTTCTGAATCTCATTTTATATTCGGTATATTAATTTTCAATGAAAACTACTTCACAAATTGTATACTACGTTTGGGATTTTTTTCTCTAAAAAATTAAGAAAATACAAAAGAATAAATGATCAATGATAGTTTCAACTATTCAAGTCCTTATTTAATAGTTTTCATAAGTAAGATCCTGAATTGAAAGATAACCTATTTTTGGGTCTAATCCACAAAACTCCAAATTAGTAAACACAAAATATTCACTTCATATAGTACATGGTTAAAACTTTGAAATCAAAGAACTTCCTTGGTAGAAAGAACAAAAATGGGCTGGTGGTGTACCGATGGTCTGATGCTAACAAAAAAAAAATTGGCTGCAAAATATCCGTAAGGCTATAACACATACTCATACGAATGAACATTCCTAAATAAAGAAGATCATGAAGGTTTTACTAGCAGGAATAAAAATGTTAAAATAATAAAATTGAACTGTAAATGTATGAAGAAGAAAATCATTAAGCACTAACCTGCTCAAAACTGTCTCTGGAGGAGTGCTGCCCTTTTCCATCACTGGAGCTGCCGGACCTTCTGAATCCATGTTTCACCAATAAGATCCAACTTGCCAGAATCCCCTTAAAGGCTTAAACTCTATTTCTTGTTCTTCAACAACAGTATGCCTGAGAAAAAATAATATATAGAAGCAGATTAGCCATCAACATCAGTCATGCAAAAGTGTTAAACCCTCCCTGGCTCCCTCTGTCCAAAATTCTTTTAAATTATTACTGTCCATTGGTCAACTCAATTTTTTTTCTCTCAGATTTTGTGTAACAAGTTTTTATCGTATTTGAATTTGGTTTTTGAACTTAAGATAGAACTCCTAGTATTGTTACTGAATATGTAAATTTTAATTATTAACACTCATTAAATATTATTAGGGAAATTAACTTTGTCGAATTGTCGTCAATCAAAACATAAACCTGCAAAGCAATTTGGATGTAAGAAATGTACAGTTCGATTTTGGAAAAATTGACATTAAACAATTGATTAGTTGATTCTTTCTTTTTGCGTTTGCAGGCAAAAGAAGTTGAAATGTGAAGCCAGATTCCTATCAATTTGAGTCCAAAAGATTCTAAAATCTACTTTTTAATAGGAGAAACACATTTCGAATTTAGGATAACTACTGACACAACCCTGTACAAAAGGGGATATTGGCGCACCGGTTACGGTGTTGCCGTGTGACTGAGAGCTCACGGGTTCAAGTTTTGGGAGCCACCTCTTGTCAAAAATGACAAGGGAAGGCTTGCTCCTTATACACCATTGAGGTGGCACCGTTACCCGGACCCTCGCCTTGTGGGGACACCAATGTGAACCAGGCTGCCCTTTTTTACCGACACACCCCTGTACACGTTGTTAAAGTTTCTGGCATTTGGAAGCTTTGGAACAATTCGGAAACTGGAAAATTCAATGTGTGTATCGTTTGCTGGGGTCCTAGGTTCTGATCTATAAAACTTGTTTTGCAATACATGTGACTTTATAAATCAAGAGACTTTGTAGTAAAAAAATTCTATCGTTTTTCCTCTTAACCATGTTACCCTGTATTTCTAAATTAAAGTAGCTTCTGCTATTCCAAGAAGGGGTACAACTAGTACAAATAAAGGATACTTCAGTTATAACACTATTTCTATAATATTGATGAGTTTCTTAATCCATGTGTATAATAATAATAACCCTTAAATGACATTTACTCTGAAACATGAAATGGAGGGAGTAGCTATTTGTAATAATTGATAAAATCCTTAGCAAAGACTTAGAATTTACACGGAAAATAAGACATTCCAGCGAGTAAAGTATATGATAATCTAGAAAATCATGCCATTTTATCTGATTACCCACACTACCCCATGAAATTAGATTATCCTACAGGAGCAGAAGTTGCCCTAATAATCAAGAAAATCGGGGAAAAATCAAACCTTTAGCTTAATAAAGATGTTCCTCAAAGTAGATGGAACCGAAATTTACATAGCAATGAAAACCCTCAAATTTGATGCATCCGATCAGCTAACAAAAGCACATAATCAAGATAAAATTTAGAAGAAAATCAAGAATACATACCTTGTAAGGGTTATTCCTGTTTCCTTTTTGTTTTTCTGAACCAGGCTGTTGAGTTGGGGAAGACGAAGAGCGTAGAGTCGGAGGCCGAAAGGTCTGTTTTCAGCAGTTGTGGCGTGTGGCCAACATAGGCTGAAGGGAAGCACTATGCGTAGCTTGAGAAGCGTGACACGAGGTGAATGGGGTTAGTCTCATAATTATTTTTCGCCTAATAATTAGTGATTATTTATTGGTGAATGCTGAGATGGACATAATCTATTCATTTTATTATTTGATCATTTGTCTATGACGAATTATTCAATTATAATAATACTATTTATGTCCCTTAAAACTTCGTCAAGTTTGACCAGCTTCGAGAATAATAAAGTAGAAATTGTGTAGTTGAATTATGTACAGAAGAGAGATAAATAATAGAAACCTCAAAATAATTGATTAAAATGGAAAGACACAAAATTTTTTGGGACGTCCCGAAAAGAAAACGTGACAAAGTTAAGGTAGTATGCCACGTTACTTTAAAAAAACGTAGTATGAAGGTGCCGTTCAAGTGCCAGTTTTATTAGCTCCTACATCACTTTTTTGTCTTTTTAAGATTAGACTCACTTTTGTGGAATTGGGTCTCCTAATACTAATATTAGTGTCCTTTTCCTTGTGTTTGGTTTCAATGTTTTTCTAATTTCCTTTTCCAAATCTCAACTTTAGTTTGTTTGATTTAATTTTTATATTAATTGCTTCTTCATTGTTATTGAATTGGCTTTGTCTTGCAAATTTTGCACGTGCTGAAAATAAAAATGTCATTAGTTTTAACAATGTCATTTTCATAATGATTGACATTCTTATGACATTGTCATTGACATTCTTATGACATTATCATTGACATTCTTATGACATTATCATTGACATTTTTATAACATTTTAATGACATTGTTATTGACATTGTCGCCATGATTAATTGACATTATAACATTTTTCGACATTGTGACATTTCTTTTACTACCTTCGTCCCTTAAAACTATACCAACTTTCCTTTTTTGGATGTCCTACTAACTTTGTCACTTTCCCTTCTAAGTAAAGAATTTATGGTTTCAGCTAATTCTCTCTCCTATGCACAAACCTCAACCACACAATTTTTAGTTTATTAATCCCTGTGACGGTCAAACTTGGCAAAGTTTTAAGCGACGGAGGGAGTATAAAATTAACACTGTCATAATAGCTATTGACATTCTCATAATTACAATGTCATTTTATAGCATCGACAATGACATTGTCATTGTGACATTTTCTTAACCCGGTGACCTTTTTATACATTTTTATGACATTGTCATTAACATTGCCATTGTGTCAAGATATGTCGGGTCAACCCGAATTCATTTTGGTTCCACATTTTAAAATTTGAATCACAAATCCAACTCAAAATAGCACTTAGAATGGTTCCTCATATATAACTTCAGAATAAAAATGCATTTCTTCCGAGTTTCTGTTTGGGATCTGATAGGATGTGTGCATGACAGAACCTCATCATAGCCATGGCCTTCGTTTTGCAAGTGCTCATTACTTGACAATGTCAATTTTTTATAAATGGTAGTGATTACATTATATCTCAATGGCGACAATGTCAATAACATTGTAATATCATTGATATTGTTATGTCATTATTATTGATATTTAATTTTGGACAGTGTCATTTTCAAAACGTCATGAAATGTCATTGTGCATAGACAATGTCAATAACAATGTCAATAACGACAATATTTTTTTTCCAGGAAAACTTACTAAGTTTCAATAAGAGCCAACTGCAGATCCTCTGAAACGGACTTGAATGAAAGTTGGCTATAAAACAAGATAAGTGAGTAATTGTTTTAAAAAAAAAGACATGTGACTAATTAAATGGATCATTAAAATAATAATTAAGCAAATAACGTGCTACATAATAAAAATTAAACAAAACAATAAACTGAAATTTTAACAATTTTAAAATGAAATTAGATAAATTAGATAATAAAAGCAAAACGAACCAAAAGCAAAAGGAATGGGAAAGAGCATTCGGAAACAAAATTTAACGCCCACCAAAAATAAACGTAGATCTGCGGAAGAATTAAGATGGAAGAGAAAAGAAGATTGGCAGAAGAAAGGAAGAAGATCTGCTGAGCACTTTGGCGACGAGCAGCGGCAGAACACTCCGGGAACGACTAGTGATGGAGCACTCCGGTGACGACTTGCGGCAGAGCAATTCAGCGACGGCCTGGTGCAGAGCACTTCGGCGATAACCAGTGAGAGACCGGCAGTGGACATAGAAGGTCCCGAATCAGCACCGACGAGTACAATGAATCGCGCCCAAAGGACTTCGTCTCAGGCAGTTCGGCTCTTGGCTAGCGAGACAGAATTTAATCGATGTCTCTAGTTGGGTAGGAGAACCGAGTACGTAATCTTTTCCAAGAGGTATTTTTGTCCCTTAGCTTAAAAATAGTCCTATTTAGGGTTTAAAAAGTTGTAAGTCTTATTAACGTTCATAGCACTTGTTTAGTCCTATTGAAGTCTTTTTTCAAGAGATTAAATGCTACTATTAAATCGGTATACGGCGTTGTTCTATATTTGATTAATAGTAAGAGTTATTAATGAACGGTCGTTGTTAATAACTATCCTCGATGAATTGGAGATACTCCTTGATTGAGTATTCGAGAGGGGATAAGTTAAAGATATAACAATGATCGACTAAATATATCAACAAGTGGAAAGTAGGAAGATCAAGTTCTTTTTATCGTTGAATTAAATCACATATAAGTGGCTCATCTTGGTGTTGAAATTAATTAAATTCCTACAATCCCAAAATCCCCCTTTTATTTACTAGTTTCAATAAAAAGAGAATTACTCCTTTCCCCGTGGATACGAACTCTACTTCACTATACTTTATACTACGTAAGTACGTATAAATGTTAGTATCGATTTATTTTGACGCACTACGACAAAGTGCTCGTCAAAGGCTACATAAACTCATGCAATCACCCCCGACATGGCTTGGAAGGTTTACTCAAGAGTCAAGTCATGGTATCACTGGTGTATACACAAAGTAAAGGGGATCATATCCTCTTTATATAACACACTGAAAATGGAAAACTCACTCTTTTGTGAGTCTATATAGACGATATGATCATTTCAGGAAATGGTGAATTTGAAAAAAAGAATTTGAGAAAGGAGCACAACTCAGTTAGTTTGAAATGAAGGACCTACAAAAGCTCAAATATTTGCAAAGTATGGAAGTGACGCACTCAAAATAATGCATTTTTGTTTCCCAAAAGATAATATGTTCTCGAACAAGTAATAAAACAAGGACCTTACATAAGCTCTAGTACTCCGGTTTATACATTTTTTCTATATATACTCTTATTTGAAGCATGACGGCACTAAAGTCGTTGTGTGCCTCAAAATAAAATCGATACTAACACTTATACGTATTATAGCGAAGTAGAGTTCGTATCCACATGGAAAGAAATACTTTTCTTGGATTATTAGCTTATTTTATCCCAAACTATCATCAAATTCACAAATATATCCTATTCTTTCACTTTTATTAAAAAAAGACTCAAACTTCATCTTTTTCAACAATTATGTTTTGTTGGTTTGTTTTTTCAAAATTACACATTTTTATCAATACCAATAAGATATAATCAATACAAGTTCGTAAACTTAAAACCAAAAGAAGTGAAAAAAATATGAAATATAAATATGATTTACTTCTTAAATTTTACTAATTCATCTATTGAAAGTGTAATTGTTAGAAAAATTGAAGTTTGAGTCTTTTTATAATAAAAGTGAAAGTATAGGATAAATTTGTGAATTTGATGATACTTGAGGATATATTTACCTAATAAATCCTACTTTTCTTTTATGTAACTACTAATGGGGGGGATGGAATTGTTTAATTTTAATTAATTAAACACTAAGATGAATGCCTTATATGAATTTAATTAATGAGATAAAAACTTGGTTTTGCTACTTTCCACTTGTTGATATGTTTGTTGATCCCGGTTATATCTATAACTTATCCCCTCTCGAATACTCAATTGAGGAGTATCTCCAATTCATCAAGGGTAGTTATTAACAACGGCTGTTCATTAATAACCCTTACTATTAACCAAGTATAGAACACCGCCATATACCGACTTGATAGTAGCATTTAATCTCTTAACTCGATGAAATCAACTGAGATTGATAACCTCAACACAACGGTTTCGGTTTAACCAACACAATTAATCCCTCTTAAGTTTATTAAACACGACCGTGCATTAATGTAACACCCATACTTTTTATGTACTTTTTATGTGTTTAATTAATCAATAGGATCATGTTTGACTCATGGTTTGAGTGCAATACATGTGCAGAATAAGGATTTTATGTGATTATGAACCTTGTCATAATTGTACTTGAACTCACATGCTTGTATTATGTTTGAACGTGACAGGCAACTGTATCCGATGAGCAACGAAACTACACCGTAACGATCCTTTTTATTCCGGATGAAATGGTATATTAAGTTAGTTGTCATGTTAGATAGTATTAGGGTGATGAAGTGTAGTTTAAAATGCCATCAGGGGTCTAGGATGTGAACGGAATCAATCGGGGTCGGTTTAGGGCGAAAAATGACGTTTTCGGCACCCGGTGGGCCCCAGACTGGCGCCGGTTCGCCCCTGTCTGGTGCTGGTGCAAAATAGAAAGTCTGGGGCGGTGGAATGGCAGCATAACCGGCGCCGATCAGGTCCAAACCGGCGCCAGTCTGGTCGGTTTTTGGCTGGTCGGTCAAAATGCGTTTTTAAGCGCAGAAAACCCCTTTTCACCCAAAATCGATCCCTACACATCCTTCTCACTACAAAGCAATCCCAAACCCTTCCCAAGGTGATTCAAGCTCAAATTAAACATATTTCTTCATCAAAGATCATCAATTGGTAAGATTTTACACTTCACATGAAGTATTTCTTCTATATTTTGAGTTAGAGTTCTTGGTTGAGGATTTTGCTAGGGTTGATTGATTTAGGGATGATTCTAGGAAAATTAATGGCTTTTCTTAATGATAAGGTTGTTATGGATTTGTTGCTCATCCTTGATTAAAAACCCTTGTGAAGTTTTGAGTATTTAGCTAGCCCAAAGTTATACCCAATTTAATGAAAGAATTTGGGTAGTTTCTTAATGTCTATGGGCGGTTCTTAGTGATCTAGCCACCCCGAAGCTATGCCCGATTT